ACATACACGCACGCACCACACACACGTACACACACATACATTAACACACACACACACACACACACACACACTCGCTCACACACACACACACACACACACACACACACACACACACACACACACACATTTATGTTTCATTACTGTGGTATAACAGTTGACACATGTTAATTATCTATCTATCTACTACGAAATCAAAGAAGCTTAAAAGTGTTTTGCTCGTGTATTGAAGTGCGTCAACATTACTGGAATGAACACGTATTGCATATCAAACGCATGGGGGGTTTTGCGTATGCACACAATGGAATAAATAATATTTTATTGCGATAGTTTCAAACATAGTCGAAAACAGAATAGTCACAAATATACTTCTGTCCTTTAGTCTAGGAGGCTCTCATGGTCTAGAGGTACGGTGCTTGTTTCTCGAAACCTGAATGCGACGGAACATTTATTTCTCTAAATTTTTCTCGTTTCACCTCCTTTCTTGATCTCTTACCATGTTCTATCGTCATCTTTCGTTTTCCACTTTCTGCCCCCCCCCCCCCAACCCCTTTCCCCCCTCCTCTGGGCTCCTGACTCTTTCTGCAGCCTTTCTACTGCTACTCCTTGGCCCCCCAAACCGGCCGCCTTCTCTGGGCCCCTGACTCTTCCTTGGCTCCTTCTTACTGCTGTCTTTCTGCCACATCCCTGATCTTATGGTAGGTAAGATTTAACCTCAAGCCTTCTCGGATTAGGGCGAAAAAATATCTCGGAGGTTCTGTGTGCAAGCTGAACAATCAATTCATACCAAACTGAAAATGCTTGATATGTTCCGCACGCTCTTACGACCTTAAACAGTTGCGAGCGCCGTAACACACACACGCACACACACACGCACACACGCACACATACACACATACATTCACACACATACACACACTCGCACATATCCGTCAGTCTATCTGCTTCCACCGTTCTGTTTACCTGTCTGTCCAATTGTTTATTCGTCTTAACTTTCTGTCTATCCAGATGATACTGATTTTATGACCTACTAAACTGTGTCAAGAGGGCCGTAAAAGTCAACCAGCCAACTGCCTGCCTGTACGGTGGCAGGGTTAGATGTGTTGCCGTCATTCGCGGGACACGTGGGTTTGATCCCGAGAGGAGTGGGGCTTTTTTGTTTGCTTTATCTTGTTTTATTTTCTATTGTTTCCTATCAAACATCTATCGTCCTTATCTCCCCTTCTTCTTTTTATGTTAGTTACTCTCTTGTAACACCTCTAATCTTCTGGCGCTCATATGACCTTATGCAGTTGTGAGCGCCGTAAAACCTCTACTAAAACTAAAACTAAAACTAACTTTTATTTTGTTTTGTTCATCTGGATCCTGTGATGTCTGTCTGTGGGACTCTATACACCAGTTAACCCTGCTTAATATTGGGTTTCCATACTCCGATCACACGTGCTAAGCCTTCACAGCCACGGTGGAAGCAGCCCGCCTTCTAATTGATTTAGAACAGTCTAGCGGTCTAACTGTGTCACTTTATGCAGT